TGGTGGATATACTCATGGTCAACTTATTAATGTTCAAGTTTCAGTTAATAATATAACTTTAGATCCGTTAGATCATTTCGTTATATATATTCTAAGAGTGAGTTACCTTCAGTTTAGTAAACTTCAAGTACGGCAAACTGATTGTTTTACATTATATCATAGCAAACGACTTATCATCATAAGTCGAAGTACAGTGAAAATAAAAGAACTAGACTCAATATTGTACAAAAGCGGACTATGGCCAATTGGAAATGTGAACGGTAAGGGAGATGGTCTAGTTATGAGACGGGTTTTGTTTTAGATTTAAAAAAAATTCTGTGGCTTTCAAAAATGAAAAGTTAGAGTTCTATCATGTAGCTTATGTGCAGACGCAACTTTTTTCCGATGAAAGTTTATTGATTCCAGTTATTCGAAAAAAACTTTGACCAATTTTGTGAGGACTATTTTTTTGGCCCCAAAAAAATTTTGGTCCAGTTATGAGACACCCAGAAAAATTGAATACAAGTGGATAAATATGAAGGAAACTCATCATAAAATGTTCAAATATTATTCTTTATTTATTATAAAGACCTTCAATGGCTAAAATAAAGAAAATTGGGCCTTTAATGGCCTTACATGACAAGGAAATAACAATTTTCATTCATCATCATCATCGAAATCCTCGTCTTCTTCTTGTTCCATGTCACTGTCGCAGTGTTTGCAAGTAAAGAAGCTTGCACGCATGTCAGCGCATTTCAAGTGAACTGGCCGCTTGCATACGTTGCATTGGATGGAATTTTCAGCGGTCAATTTGTTTGGTAACAGCGTCAAACAAATGATGCAGAAGTCCGTGTCTTCATCGGACGGTGGTGATTTTTCAGTTCTACGGCGCTTGGGCGGTGGTGTTGCTTTTGATGTTGCTCTCTTCGGTGCTGTTTTCTTAGGGGTTGGCTTCTTTGGCGTTGCTTTCTTTGCTGCTTTTTCCGCTTTCGTTGCTGCTTTTTGCGCTTTCGCAAGTGCCTTTTGCTTCAAAACGGACATGGTTTCCGGAGAAGTCAATTCAGCACTTTCCATCGGTTTTCGTCCACGATTCGACTTTGGTTTTGGAGTTTTGCCTTGTAGAGGGCCAACCGCATCCAAAACCGACGAAGTGTTGCTTGCAAGAGACATTAGTGACACCGAGCTGGATAGTTCAGAGGGCTGTCACTGTTGCAATATCATCAAAATTGTCTGCAACTTTCTTCACGTAGCGCTGTAAGGTGCTTTTATCTATTCCATGTTCTTGGGCAGTCCTTCGAATACCTTTCTTCTCCACTATACATAATTTAATGGCTTGCAACAGCGCAAAAGGCACGCACAGTACATAAGAGCTAATGCTATAATGCAGTAAAAGTCAATTGATGCGCATAAGTAGCGCCACCTCTAATGATTACGGAGAGTTACCATAAGTCGTATGCAATTGATGTTGAGAAAAAGAAGAAGAAGAAACAGACATTCTATTCATTTACATTGCAATAATGGCAATCAGTAGAGATGGTGCTCATGTGCAGATCATATCACTGTTACAACCCTTCGCAACAGCGCATCAAAATTTTCGACCACCTTATTTCGACTAGGCTTAGCCTTTTTTGGAGGAGACATGGCTGAAAATCCGAGAATATTAGTTAAAATACAATTGTAATTGCATATAAATGCGTTTTGACAACAAAAATGACAAAATATGACGTTTCTATACGCTTTCAGTGCAAAATCTAGAGTGTCTCATAACTGCGCAACACGGTGTCTCATAACCGGATCGAGACGCCATTTTGAACATTACTCACAAAAAATTATCCACAACACATAATCGAACAATCCGAACTAGAATCACAAAATATAATCAAAATACAACATTTTAATGCATTACACTCACCTTTTTAACTTGATTTTCACAAAAAATTGGCACTATGAAAAATATTCCAAATCCTTTTTTCACACGATTTTCAACACGATGTTTGGTGCGTATACAAGCAATGCGTCTATTCACTTCGGTGTTCGCCTAAAAACTGGCGGACATCGAATAAAGAACATTGACAGTTCTCATACCAACACTTCCATAGCGTATGACAGAAATAATTGACTGTCTCATAACTGGCGCTGTCTCATAACTAGACCATCTCCCTTATGCATGTGAAACTTTCCCAGCTGAAAGTATCAAAGTGCCAGCAATGATTCCACCAACAGATGAGACAAGCAAAATCATCAAAATTAAATACTTGATTTCGGTAAGTACCACATCCTTTCCGAATCTCATTCGTAAAAATATTCTTTTGATTCATTTTGTAGATAAGAGCCATGTCCAATACCCGTTATGGTTGTGTCGGTATGGTTGATTTACCGATAACGATAGGAACTATACCGTTTGGAGGTAGCACATCAACCATGATCGTCTCCCCTCAGACAAGAAACGTTCCCAGTGCTCCACCTATTGCTCTAGCACATGATATTTGGCCATCGGAACCTCGGCTAATGGAACTTTCAACTCCCGCATTTCCAGATGATGATACGGTAACGATTCGAACATACGCCAGCACACTTTCTCCATTCCCTGAAGATGGTAAGTTTTTGATACATAACAACATCAATTTCTAACATCGAATGAAACTTTTACAATTTTCCACAAGATTTCGATCTTCCAACCTACGAAGATGCTTTATTAATGGATGATGAAATCGACGTCAATCTGCAGAGTATTGAAGACTCCTTTGCCCAAATGCATGTCAAATCAACGAAAAAATAACAACAGAAAATCTGTTCCATTTATTCTATTGATGGTTTTACATTTCAAACGTTTAGAATTAAGTGAGAAAATCGAAGAGACTTCTTTATCAATCAGAATGCTACCTCATTTATAAAAAATTTACTGTATTTTAGGACGTAAGTGATATATGTTAACATTGAGCTAAAATGAATGAAAATCTTGAAAATTTCAAAATTGAATCGGTTACGTTTCATTCAACGATCTAATCCGAAAAAACAATTGATTATTTTTCATTTTCAGAAATTTAGTCAGTGTACTCAATCAGTGATAGAGTCAATCACTGTATCTCGATCATTTCAATATATTGAAATATACATGACCACCTCATAACTAATCTAATAGACAAACAACAGAAAATGAAAGGCAATGGTTCGTGTTCTAGAGAAAAAATTGTATTAAAAATTAATCGAAAATTACATAAAATCAAATGTGAACTTGTTTTTGCGATTCGTTTCATTTCTGCTCAGCTATCAAGATTGTAGGAGGTATTTTGTGTTGGAAATCATGAAGAAAAACAAAGAACATCTAAACTGAGTTTACTGCGAACAACATCTCTTTTACGCTAACAGCAATTCGTACACGAACGAGTCAGTGTGACGGTTGGTGTGAGTGAGACAGGATTTGACAGCAAACAATTTGGTTGTATCAGTTTAAATGTTCTTTTATACACAGCTGGAAACGAATTTATCTATTTATTGGACTGTTTTATTTTTATGTTCGTAAACTGAACGGTCAGTGGATCGCAGGTAAACGTGTGATGTTGAATTTAATATCCATCGGCAAAAAAACACAATATCATTGAACGGAAAAAAGAATCGAAAGAACATTTGCGGCAAAAATTTTGACTCATTTGTGTTGTTGTTGTTGCTGTTGTTGTTATTGTTGATAAATAAAAACAAAAAATTGCTTTAGTAGGAACGAATGGCTGGTGGCACCGTGTGCATTTCTTCGTCGAGTGTCTTATCGATAACTAGTCTATATTTAATGCTAACATCTCCAGATTCGTTGATCCAAAGCAGAGTGTGTTTGCGCCAGTGTTCGTCGATTGATTTCTTCTGTTGTCCTTCAATTGGTTTCGAATAATCCTGCAGTCATGGAAGAGAAGGAAATCAAATCAATGAAGATACGAAATTATGTGTAATGGAAATTAAAATAGGAGAAAAACAAAAAGTCCAAAGAGAAATCCACTTACGTATTCATCGATACGAGTTTTGTAGTCTTCGCGAGCGTGAGCACCACGAGATTCCTTACGATTTTCGGCACCATAAATGGTCATCAGAGCATTTTGCAACAGATTTTGCAACTCTAATGTTTCAATCAAATCTGAATTCCAAACAAGAGATCTGAAAATAAGCAATGAACATGTTTGAATTTACTTTGCAAATTCTCAAGCAGAGAAATGAGCGCTTGTACGCTAGCACACTTACTTATCGGTAACTTTAATATCGGCGAATTCTTTGTAGATTTCGGACATTTTCTCGCAACCTTCTTTAAGTACAGGGCCATCACGGAATACAGCTGCATGATTTTGCATCGTGCGTTGCATTCTCAAACGAAGATCAGCCGTTGAAACCGTGCCATTTTTGTGCAATAAATAATCTAAATTGGCTACGGACGATTCACCAGCACTATCCGGTAACTCAGGTACTTTTTCTCCTGGCTTATGTTTAGCTGCAATTGTTTTAGCGCATCCACGGCCAAACACAACCAAATCCAACAATGAATTGGCACCCAATCGATTGGCACCATGCACCGATGAACAACCTGCTTCTCCAGCTGCATACAATCCCTCAACAACGTTATCGTTACCATTTTGATCGATGGTTAAGCATTCGCCTCGCCAATTCGTTGGAACGCCTCCCATATTATAATGTACGGTGGGTATAACGGGGATTGGTTCACGGGTCACATCAACGCCGGCAAAGATCATGGCCGTTTCCGAAATACCTGGCAAACGCATTGCCAATTGCTCGGGTGGTAAATGATGCAATTGCAAGAAAACGTGATCTTCGAGTGGTCCAACACCACGTCCCTCTCGGATTTCCATTGTCATCGAACGTGAGACAACATCACGAGATGCCAAATCTTTGGCAACCGGGGCGTATCGCTCCATAAAACGTTCACCTTTAGCATTGACCAAGTAACCACCTTCACCGCGACAACCTTCTGTAATCAAACATCCAGCACCATAAATACCCGTCGGATGGAATTGCACGAATTCAAGATCTTCGCATGGTAAATTTTGTCGGGCAACCATTGCTGTTCCGTCACCGGTGCAAGTGTGAGCCGATGTACATGAAAAGTATGCACGACCGTAACCACCCGTCGCCAAAACTGTGCTGTTTGCACGGAATCTGAGTGAAAGAGGATCGGTTGAAAGTTTTGATTAGAAACGATTGAAAGAGAAAAAAAATTGTTGCAAAATGAGTAAGAAAAGGTGCCAAAATATGAAAATTGGATGATTTAAGCTACTAAATTTTGCTGCATTTAAATTATTATTTTTATTTTTTTTAAGAAAAAGAGTCATCCACCGTAAAAACCACCAAATTGAATGTTTTTCATTCGGAAATGGTTGATTTTTTTTCTATGTTAAATGATTCAATTTGAATCTAAGAATCTAAATTGAGTTATGAATAATCCGAAAAGAGGCGAAATTCAAACCTACCGATGAATAGAGCCGTCTTCAAGGCAAATGGCAATGACACCGACGCATTTTCCATTTTCCATAAGCAAATCAAGTGCGAAATATTCGATGAAATAGTGGCAGTCATAGTTCAATGACTGGCCATACAATGTGTGCAACAGTGAATGTCCAGTTCTGTCAGCGACGGCACAACATCTATGCGCTTGTCCTCCTTTGCCATAGTTATAACTCTGACCACCGAAGGCACGTTGATAGATTTTACCTTCTTTGGTTCGTGAGAATGGCATACCATAGTTCTCCAACTCAATGACAGCCTTTGGCGCTTCACGTGTCATATAATGAATGGCATCCTGATCACCGAGCCAATCTGAACCTTTAACTGTGTCATAACAATGGAATTTCCAATCGTCTGGTTCCATGTTTCCCAATGCGGCATTGATACCGCCTGAAAGAAAAATGCAAAAATTATTTCTCGAACTTTAGTTGTTAATCCCAACATGGGCGCCTGATTGAATTGAATGACCATTGACAATTAATTTAAAAAAAAAAATGGTTCGACAAATTTTTTGTGAAAAAACTAAAAAAAAATCATGCATTTACCTTGAGCAGCAATGGTATGTGAACGAGTTGGGAACAATTTTGTGATTACGGCAGTTTTGAAGCCTTCAGCGACTAATCCGAATGCAGCCCGCAAACCTGCACCACCTAAAAATACAATGTAGCCCATCAAACCAAAAAATCAAAGAAAATTTCAGCCAAAAAAAAGGCACACAAAGAGGATGCCCACTTACCAGCACCAACGACAATGGCGTCGAAAGCATGGTCAACGACTTTGTACTCATTGGAAATGGCATCAGAAGAGACTTTTGCATTGTGTTGACCAGAGGAATAATGTAAACTCTTGGCACCGACTGAACTTGCATTGATCTGCAACAAAGTAACCAAAAACCATTAACGCTCGTCTTTTTTCTTGTTAATTTTTATTTTTTTTTGGAAAAATTCACTGAATTTTAAAAAATTTCCCATTCAATTGAATTTAGATCGAAAAAAATGTATCCAAAAAACACGGGGAAAAAAACTTGTAAAGATGAGAAAAATTCACATCGCAATAGATTACATAATGTGTGCACATAAGATAATCGATTGCACCATTTAAAAATGATATAAAATATAAATGACTGGGAAAATGCCTAAAATTCGGATAGTTTACCATTGACTTAGCATTTTTGCTAAGAACTTGAGAAATCCTCATCAGTGCACTCATGATGGAATCACCTAAAATCCGCACCAAGAGTTCTTATTCAAAATATTCACTATTTCAGCAATGTGGGAAAAATAAAGTTTCCGTGTTTTTCTTATTTCATGCGATTTCGTTTCGCTCGTATTTGTCACGCACATAAAACTGTTCATCTGCTTTAGTATGGATCTGTGTGTCTGTCGCTTTCGTGTAGTTTACGATGCATACACGTAGAAACATCTAGAATACATCGACAATTGGGTAAAAAATGCTTTGAGAACAGGCAAACTGACAAGCAGTAAATGTGATAAATAATTTGGATATACACAACTGTGTCTACTTTGGCATATGTCAAAGTGTGTGCGTGTGTCTCGTGACATTTTATACATCGAGCGCGCACTTGTTCAAATTGTGATGACATTGCTGCTGCGTAATTAGTTGGGGTTTTTTCAAATTTTTGGCCAATTTTCGTTTGGAACATGATAAATTTTCCATCAAATTAAAAGCTAAGATTTTGGATAACCAAAATGTACCACATTTGGTCACCATGTCAAATCGAGATTGAACGCACTATTCGCATCGTTGCATTGCGTTTCTAATATGCGCAACGGATTGGTGTCGTTGAGTTCGACTTGCGTTAACCGTGTCATGCGACCCTGTGTATTGAAAGTATTTGACTATGATAATAATTTTTTCAGTGTTCAGCTGAGCTGGTTGATATCGAACCGAGAGGTATGCAGTGTGTGTGATAACGTTGAGCCGTGTGAGTGTGCACGCGACGTGGTTACACAATTCAACCGATTGTAATTGAAAGTAAAAGTGCACTAATTTCTTTATTATTTTTGGACGCCCCTTTTTCGGAGTTTTAAACGGTGACAAGACTTCATCTCGAGCTTAACTGAAAACACGGAAAACACTGTAAGATTGAGACAGAGACTGATCACAACTGTTGCTTGAATGTACAGTCGGATCAATGCAAAACCAGTCGATCCGTCGGCCTATTAAAAATGCATTAAGCCCAGCTAGCCATACCGTTTTAATTAGCATATAAATTGATATTCTTCCTCAATCAGTTCCGTGTGCCCAGTACTAGGCAATGCGATTATCATTTGCCATCGAAACATCGACAATGACAATAAATAACACGGAACAATCACCCTCTTCGTGTATTCATTCAATTGACCATTAACATAAATGACAAAAAAAATGACACTGCGTATGAATACAATTCCAGCCACTTCGATTTCGGCTTGTGTCAATAGCCCCTACAACTCAAAACGCATACATTCGCATGATTCGGTTTCTATGTATTGGACAATTTTGTTTTTCTCTCGTATTTTAGAAAGTATCTACTAATTGTCTAGTCATTTGTTATACGCTACTAGTTCTCTTAACGTACATGCCATTTAACATTTAAGAGCTGCTAACACGTTGAACTATTTTCGACCATGAATTCAATGAATAGCGGCTGCAATTGCAAACCGATTTGCTTTTTAAGCTAATAAAGTACCACCATTTGGCATTCCGTAAACGATTATCGCAAAACTGATTTTATCTCTACTTTCAAATTTATTTTATATTTCACGAGCTAAAAATTTGTATTTGGTCACGAAAATTGTTTTAGCTTAAACGCAGTATTTTGCCTTTTGCAGCAAGAAATTCTTGAGTAGCAGCCACAGCATGAGTTCGACCAATGACTCTACACCGAGTAACGAAATACCGGATGGAAATGGGTCAACCAAAGACATGAAAGTGATACGAGTCGGATCAAGAAAAAGCGAAGTAAGTTCATGAATACACGTTTCTTAACGAAATCTTTAATACTTTAACATTTTTTTTTATTCAACTTAATTCGAAATGTGCCTGGTTTTATCAGAGACATGTTCCAAGTTTTTGCAAAAAATTGCTTCATCATGTCGAGCAATTTAATAGCACTTTTTTTATCAACAGAAAAATCATCAGTTTAAAGATAACATTGTTGTTATTAAAAATCATGTCGTGATTTCGTGTATTTTCAGCTCGCCCTTGTACAAACCAACCATGTCATTGCATTGCTTAAAAAAATCTATCCCCATCAAAAGTTTGAAATACGTAAGTTAAAATGTGGGAAAAATAAACGATTCAATATATTATCATTTTTCGATAAGAGTCTTAAGTTGAAAATGCGATTAGAAAACAGAGAAAGGATTTTGTTCGTTATCGATTCGAATCCACCCTTAAAAATTAAAACAAATAATGCTAATCCAAATATTTCAATGTTTTGCAGATAAAATGACAACGATGGGAGATCGAGTGTTGAATATTTCGTTGCCGAAAATCGGTGAAAAGTCACTATTTACAAAAGACTTGGAAGATGCACTTCGCAATGGGATCGTTGACTTTGTGGTGCATTCACTGAAAGATTTGCCAACGGCATTGCCCGATGGAATGGCAATCGGTGCGGTGTTGGAGCGTGAAGATGCTCGAGACGCTTTGGTTTTGGCGAAACAACACGAAGGGAAATCATTCAAGACATTACCTGAAGGATCGATCATTGGTACTGCTTACTCTTAGTATTTCCATTTAAATTTGAAATTAATTTCCAAATGAAACTATGTACTCAAAATACCATTCCATATTCCAGGCACATCGTCACTTCGTCGGACGGCACAGATTTGTCGCCTCTATCCACATTTGAAGGTGCAAGATATTCGTGGTAATTTGAATACTCGCCTGGCCAAATTGGATGCGACCGATTCAAAATATGCTGGCATTGTATTGGCGCAGGCTGGTCTAGTGCGTTTGGGTTGGCAACATCGTATAAGCCAAACGATCGAACCCGATGAATTGTTGTATGCGGTGGGTCAAGGTGCATTGGCCGTTGAATGTCGATCGTCTGACACGAAAATCTTGTCGATGCTTCAAAAATTGGTATGTCATCAAACGCAGTGCCGTATTTTGGCGGAACGAAGCTTCCTAAAGACGTTGGGCGGTGGTTGCAGTGCACCGGTGGCCGTTCATTCAATTTTATCGAAGCGAAAGAGTATCGATGATGAAAAAATATCCGCACACGGTGAATATAAACTTGAAGTCATTGGTTCCGTATGGAGTTTGGATGGAAAAACGGAAATTCAAACAGAAAATTCGTGCAATTTTAATATAAGCGAAAAAGATGATGAAGAAGAAGCAGATGCAGTGCCATCGAAACGAATGAAACTCTCAGTTGACGTTGGTGATGACAATAAATTGAGTGGTGACAATCCAAGTCCACCGCAAATTGTCGATCATTCGCAACTCAATTTCAATGCGAGTGCATCGGATTCGAATCAAAATCTGGACATTGCTGGTTTATTGAATGTGCATAATGATGCATTTAAAAAATGTCCATACTCATCGTTAGTACAAAATAAAACGGAAATATCGACAAAAGCAGCTGATTCAGGCAGTGATCCAGCATTGAAGTGTCCTTTAGATTTCAACAGGGTGGGACAAGATGTTATGGGTCAATGTCCGTACTTCGATTCGATAAATAGCATTGAAAATGTGACCAAAACCTCTAGTACATGCGGTGATTGCCCATTTAAAAATGACTGTGCTAGTAATAAATGCAATTCATTAGCAGAAAGCTCAACTAAGACTAAACCAGACATTTCGAAATGCCCATTCTTAGCATCATCCTCCACACCAAGTACCTCAAATACCTCAAACACCTCAAACATTGACTTATCGAATGAAAACGCAGTCGAAATGCTATTCTGTGGCCTTTATCCACACCGTTGCTGGCCGATGGATGTGTTCGAAAAATGTGAACAACTTGGCAAAGATTTGGCATCACATTTAATTGAAAAGGGTGCTCTAGCGGTGATGGAATGTGCTCAGAATGAGATTCGCAAAAAAGCCTAGGGTTACAATCAATAAATTAAATATCGTATTCAATCGATAGCTAGATACAAATCGGTAGTGGAATTTAGTATAATTAAATGGTGCACCAGATATTCCTTTGAAAAAGGAACAAAACCTTTTTACTGATACAGATCGACAGAGTAGAGACAGAGTACCTATAGAAATGTGTCGACATTTCACACGCTATCGTTTCATATTTAAATGTTGGGTTTATTTTTTATTTGTACATACGTTTAAGCACAATTTAATACGTTTTGTTAACATTCATCAACAAATTATTATCATGTGAAAAAATTTATATATAAAGAGAGAACAAACAAAAAATTTGTTTAAAAAAAAGAGAGAAAAATGTGAAAATTCATGTAGAAAAAAAATACTGGGAAAAATCATACGAACAATTGTTTATGCGATTTTTAATAAAACAAACTTGGAATATGTTTTTCTTAAAACTTGAATTTTAATTTCATTTCATTTTCAATTGTGCATAAATTCTCCCACTGAACTCGTTTGAAAAAAAAAAACATGGAAAATCAAACGAGATTGGTTTGAAAAAATAAATTTGTTTGATACAGAAATATGTGAAGAAATTATATTCACTTGTAATTGTAACACAGCCAGCTCTCTCAATTTTTGGTCATAATCGTTTTTGGATGATGTTTCTTCATTGAGTGGGATAGTGTGAGAGATAGAATGGAATGAGATGCACGAGACCTCGGACCTGCATCACTAAAGCAGAATGATCCAAAACGTAGCAAATCGTAGAGAGTAAATGAGTAAGAGTAAGAGTTGACTTAATTCTTGCGGAGAGCTTCAATAGTCGTCGCCACATCATGGAGAAGGAAAAATAAAACATTTTCTGTTTAAGAGCTAGTGAATGGTTGTTCTACAAAAGCAAAAACGTAAACAAATGCAAAATCAATTTCTGTTGAGTAGCCAACGCGTTGAATTTGTTTTTGTATTGACATGTGAACATTTCGGTGGAATTAAAGTGTAAGACGATGCTTGGCTTGCCTCAACAACAAAATTATATTGAATTCGTATTTGTTAGTTTTGTTTTCAAAGATTTTCATTAATAATATTCCATTTAAACGATCACATATCCATAGTGGATTGTATGTGTTCTATATATAAGTTTGAACCGTTGGTTTTTTACATAAAATATTTAAATTTGAATGTCAAGAAAATATATCAAAATACTTAGCATGGAAATGTTATTCAAAATTCGTTAAAATACAGAATAAAATTTGAGGCGGTAGCTCATTCAAATGCGATGGCCGTTTAAAAACATTGACAGACCACGTGTGTATATTGTATGGTAATTTGACAGACGTTTGCATAGTCACAGGGTTGCTCAAAAATGTGTTTGGAATGAATTTTTGGTGGCACTTTCATGCAATTCGGAACATTTCCCCGGACCACCTGAAGTAGAGATCAATTTTAGATTTTATGGCTAAAAATGCAACTCATCACTTTTGGTGCATATAAAATAGACGAAAGAGCTAAAACACTTGATCAAATTAGAGTAAACATAACCTCCTCATGTGTACCACTTGAACAAAGCGAACATACTTGCCTTTTGAGTCCAATGAATCACGTGAAACTTTGCTAAAAATGTGAATAATAAACAAAATGCGTGGATCGGTCTCAGGTGAGTTGATTTGCCAACAAAACAAATATTCCATATTTAATCCGATCACACACGAATCATTCACAAAATAATCATTTCTATCGCACATGAACACACTAAAAAAAAAACAACAACATCATCACACTCGAATGAAAAGACGGTTGAGTTTGTCTCCTTTTTTTTCTCTCAAAACGGTTTTAATGAAGAAGTTACACAAATGCCATTATTTCTAATGTACATATTAAAACATTGTGGTTTGTTTTGTTTAGCTTTGATTGCGGAGATGTTCTTTGACAACATCCAAAGCTGGGGTCTCTTCTCCAAAGTCCTAAAATGTGAAACAAACAAAAAACACACAGGGCACAATCAGAAAATGTTCAATAAAACATGCTGGATAATTTTGAAGATTGCTTCGTTTCCAAACATAAAAGAGAGTACGATATTTGTTGGAAATGAAAAGCATTTGAAAAACAATGTAGATCGAGCAGGCAAATGTGAATCTTAATCACACTAATTTACCTTGATTACAACGACGGAGCAACCGCAAACCTTGCGTGGTTTGCCTTCTTTGTCGATTTTGCACAAACCGCTCCATTCGCCCAATTTTTTGTTTGAATCCACACGGATCAATGGGATTTGATGTTCGTTGCACAAAGCGGTGATCAATTTTTTGTATTGTGGCTCTTCGCAGCTTTCAGCCAAGATAGCCAAAACGGCTTGACGACTGTTTGAAACAAGGAGAACAAAAAAAGACGGCGAGATTTAGATAAAAGAAAGTGACATCATTGCGGCGGTTATCCATTTGGTTGAGCCAATGGTTAACTTACATGTCGAGCGCTTTGCAAGCTTGGTGGATACCACGTACCAAACCGTTGGCAATGAGGGCCTTCTTCAAGACTTCTTGCAATGCTGTGTTAATATCCATTGGACCACCAGCAACTGGGGCGACTGGAGTTTCACTGTAACGAGACACAAACACATTGTTTACCACACACCATTCCCATGACAAATACATATTTTCAATGGAAAAATATTGAATGCATCTTCCATTTGCGGCTCATTCATTCATGAGCTCACTCGTTCCATTCGATTTATGTTGAGTGTTTCTTTTTTTATTCACAACAAATTCAATAGCATTGTTGCATACACAATGCCGAATGGTGATGATACACGGGTGAACGGATCGTATCAATCAATATTTTTGGAAAAATTACAAAAATCACCAATAAATACACTTACACTTCAACGTCCGACATTTTTTATGATTTAGCCTAGAAACAAAGAATCAAAATCAATGGATTAATTCCAGAAATGACTATGGATGATCGAGAATATTTACGATTTTTTACGGACTTTAAAAAAATTCACTACGAGTCGTACCTTTGACAACAGGAAAAGAAAGAAGGAGCTCAAAGTGACAAGAACACCGCTTAGCAATGGCGAACACATTGGCGACATTGAACATGTGGCGAATTCAACAACAGCGACATCATCAAACTGTCAAATGGACAACACCATCTAGCGAGTAGAATGTGAAGTAAAGAATGTTGGTATCGTAAATAGATTCAACGAATGGTATTCAACAGCGGTTGTTTTATTTTTTTTTTTCTTGACATTTTTCCTTTTAAATCGCATACTTCAATAATAGATTATTTTTGCATCTAACCCTAGAATTTCTTGGTGTTCCTGTCTCATTTCTTTTTCTTCTTCTTTAATCGACATTTAAACATTGAGAAAGCATCAAATTGAATAAATGAATTTTTGAGTACCTGAATTGTCTTTACCTGAATGAAAGAAAGCTGTTTCTAATTGTCCTTTTTTCGCGTTGTTTCGAAGTAATGCGATTCGGCTCAAGACAAGATAATAAAATTTAGAACAGATTTTTTTTGTTTCTTCACTTAAGTGGTGAATTCAAAATTATCGGTTTAAATTCAAAGTAAACTCAAAACTTTTGTATGAAAAACGCAATTTGAATGATTTTGTATGAGTCAAAAAATGGTTTATTACGATTTTCTTCAACACAATATTTATTTGATTAAATTCTTCCGGTGTGAAATGATGGAAAAAGCATAAACCGTCTGTTGGTGCATAGTTTCCCCAAAACATTCGATAATGTATTATTATTGAATGTCTGAAGATTATTCACTGGCGTCATCATTTTTGTCGTCTTGTATGCGAGCATAACACCTAGGAATCTCTTGATTTAAATGAAGTATTTCTTAATCTTTACAAAAGTTTCATTCTTTGATTGAGTAGTTTGTCATTCAATATTCTGGAAACAAATATTTATCTTTTCTTCAAATGATATTTACTTATCTCTGTTTAAATTTACCTAGAGAAATGGCAATCTGCTTTCTACCGACTCAACAAGTAAGTCACTAAATTTCTGTGCAAGATCTGTTTTAATCTTCATACAAATTTGATCATTTTTCACATAGTACAAATTCAAATTGCTATATTTTTGAAATTCATGAATATTTTTTGATGAAACCTATGTGATTTACTATTGAAACGTTGTAGAAACTATGCACAAAATATCAAGAGTGCAGGTGTTTCCGAAATATGTTAATGAGTCCACCAAAACTGGTCAATTGTATGAAAAATACCTAGTGGTTCCAAACTTTTGCACGGTAGTGTACATATATCCTCTATTATCATCTTTGTTCTGATCTTTATTTCTTTTTATGTGTGTGTCATATTAAAAAAAGCTTGTTTTGTATATTATGAAACAGGATAAAACCAAGGGCAAGGCGATAACTAGTAACCAGTCAATCAGATCTTCACCTGCAATCATAAGTTAAAGTGGTAGCAATAAAAATATAGGAGCCGTATTTGCGGCATTTATTGCTATTTTGCTGCGTCTCCTGTTTCTTTAAACTTGGCGCTTGGTCATCAGCTCGCGGATCTAATGGCTTCATGTGTATCGTGCACAAAAACAGCAACAACAACAACATATCCATCCCCAACGGAACCATGATCAACGCATATGTTTATGGTTATAACCATCAACCTATGAACCGCATGTTTTTGCATAGTTTTCTTTCGAATAATTTGAATAAATCACTTCAATTGCCACAAAATTTAAGTATGAAACCAGTGTTTCTGTTTTGCAACTTGTACCGAATTAGCAGGTATTGTTGTCGAATTTATGCTATGGATTGTTCATCATTGTCATCTTCGTTTACAACTTGTTCACTTCTCATTGAGGAACAAAACCACGAATTTCGAAAGTCTCTGTAGTATTTTATTCATAGAAAAAAGCTCAAAGGAATGCTATGTCTTCACATGTGATATTTATGCTAAAATAATGTAGACTTGATTCGATCATTTATTGAAAGGATATTTTTTTCAATGTTTTTTGTGAAATCTTTATTCAATTTTGATCTTTCTCCCAAGCATGCACCAATTCAAATATTCGGATGTAGAAATTTCCTTGTTCACATCGGCGAAAAATATACCCGTCTTTCCAAAAATTGAAACTGAGAGCGAAAAAAAACAAACACTCAAAGTGACAAGGGCATCGCTTACGCACCGGCGAAAGTATACGGCGAAACTATCAATTTGTCAAATGTACAACACCATCTAGCAATGCAATATGAAATTAGTGCGAATGAAATTCAATTGCAATTGCATTGGTTTTTCATGCCATTTCAAATGATTCAGTGCAACTTTTCCTTCTGACTTTATTTTATGATGCTGCTTCGGCTATAAAAATTAGGGAAAAGAACAAGTTCAGCAAATATTTACCTTTTGAGTGTAGAAGTCATAGAATTTCGTTTCGGTAAGGTAATGAATTGATTTTTCTGTTTTGTTTTTGCTTAAACGGGAAATAAGATCAATTTTACGGTATAAAAATAGAACAATGTCGGTTTTAGTGTCAAAAACGGTTTTATTTAGATTTTTCCCAACAAAACAATCGTTTGTTTCCTAAGGTTGGTCGAAATTACGAGAAAACCCAAGGAATCCATACGTTTATCGGAAACTGAATCAGTGCTCTCTTTCCATACAGATTTTTGAACTGAAACCTATGTTTCCGTTTTGCCAATAAGAATTAAATTCGCAGGTGTAGTTGCTTGGAAATTTTTGCTGCTGTTTTCTCCCCCTTCTCCTGTGTTTTATTTGATTTCAAACCGTGCGTTTGAATATGCGAGAATGTCTGTGGTAATATTTGTCGAATGAGAATTACCGCACTAGTATGCGTTACGCATCGTCTGTCAAAGTCAGTAAAGCAAGTGACTGGCCCCGTAAATGCAGAGAGTTATTTTTTTTTGTGGTTGTATATCGTACCGTCAATGTTGACGGCTTGCTCGAAGAGCAAAAAAAAAACTATACACACAGCGAGAGAGATAGTCCATTTAAGAAGAGAAACGCGCACAGTCCGTATCGTCATATAATAATAGTAAAAATAGAAAGGGTTCAAAACGAAAGAAGAGAGCAGAAAGAAATAGAAGAAAAATATGTTAAAACAAGCAGTGAAAATTCTTCGATTTGTGTATATACGAGATGGATTTGAATGCCAAATTTCAATGTTAAAATGAGCATTTGCCAACACCGAAATTTAATAAACATAAACAAAAGAAGAAAAATGAGTGTGTTTTGGTTCGGTGATAAATGAACAAATCCAAATGAATGGAGTCCAAGAATTTTATTGTTCTTGGAACCAGAATATAAAAGTGGTTAGACAGAAAATCCGCATAAAACTGTTCCTTGGTAAGAAAAAAAGTTTATTTTTTTCGAAATTCTCGACAGACAATAAGTGTAATACACAATCAAGAAGATATACAAACAAAAGAGTCACCCGTTCAATCAAGTGCTCGGTTCAGTGATTTTGCTGCATCGAAGAGTCACTGAGCTAAAAAAAACCAAAAAAAAAACGTAAAATAATAACAATAGCAATGTGACCAGAGAGTGAGAGCATATGATTGGCAACGAGTGAATGAGATAGGCTGCACTGAAATAAAGACATACAAAACAGCAACCTTTTTACAGCCGAGCAAAAATAGAATGGGGCTAAACTGAAACGGAATTTTCGAAATAAAATCAAGTATATTGAGTGATTGAACAGAAAATTATTCGCTGAATGTATTTTCGCTCAAAGTAAATTGTGTGTGACAAGAGAGTAAACAGTAATTGCCGATTTCAACACACACACACACACACACTCTCAATACCGAATTGGAAAATCACCAAAAAAACCCAGCGAAGGAAAAAAAAGTAACAGAAACTAAATAGTAGCAATAGCAGCAACAACAATAGCAGCCAACAAACGGAACGTCAAAGTGATTTTTTACCGAAAAGGCCTCGAGGTTGTAAGAGTGAATGATCGGAATTTTATGTGAAGCATAATTAAGACGAAGGAGAATACACGACATTTAAAGCAGTAACAACAGCAGCAGAGGAAGAGAGACAGAGAGAACGAAACAGGCAAACACATATTTTCGGGTTGACACATCGGACAATGTGTACCAATACACAAACAACAATACACACCTCAATAGCACAGGCCGATTTATCCGTTTTACCAAACACACAGCATAATCATTGAATAACCAAAGTGAGACAGAAAGAGAGACAGAGAGAAAGAAGAACGAAATATTGTTATTATTATCATCATCAGAAGCGTCGTTTGTGTGTCGTTCGTCATTTTTTGTTAGCTATCGCTGTTATTTTCTGCTGTTATTGCTATTTTACATTTCACACACGGAACAAACGGATTTTGTCATTGGCAAAAAGCAGACGATCCGAACCATTCAGTTCCGATTCCGAGTCAAGTTTATTTTTTGTTGCTTCTCTCGTCTTATTATTATTGGTCGCGTGCGATTCGCACTCAACAACAACGACGACGACGACTACGACAAGAGCCAGCCAGTCAATAGTATATATCAGCCGTGTATCACTTGAAAATCGCGTCTGGGGACAAATATTCAATAGATTGTGGCACATCAAAAAGTTAAACAAACGTGTATCTAAACAACAAATATCATCGCCTGTTTCGCACACACCACATCCAGTATATTTGACAAATGACATCACTTTGCAAGCGAAACGCACGGTGCAAGAAATAAAAAAGCAGAAATAAAAACCACACACACAGAGAGAGACAGTTTTGAGGACAGTTTTCGTTTTGTGAATTGTTGGATGACAAAATACGTATGTTTTGTGTGACCAAATTAGTGGCAATTAATTAGAGTCAGTTCATTTTAGTTGTGCACACGTAACAACAAATATTTTTTTTCGCGTCTTTATTTATCCAATTTTATTTGCGCGCTAGCAACATTGATTCATGTGAAGTGTATGTGGCTGGGTTCAATCATCGTACACTCGGTACGTTTCAGTGAACTCATGAAAACAACCTGTAAATTGGCAATTGAAAGACGATTTTCAAGTCAAACAACGACCGAGAAAAAACAACACACACACACACACACACATCGAATTCTCGCGCACTACATTTTCATTGAGAGAAAAACGAGAGCAGCAAGTGCAAATCGAATCGGTTGGATGTACAGTGCACGGAAAGTGTTGATGACATTGATCATAGTTTGATTTTTTTTGTGTTCGTTCTCTTCGCGTTCGAATATACATCGCATGCCAATACATTCATGGGACATTCAGTCGTTACCTTGCACTTTGCAAACTGATCGCTCTGTGGCAGTCAGTGCAGATGTATGTGTGTGAGTATGTTTATGTGAAAACAAAGCGACATTCATACCATTAAACAGATACCTTTTGTTTCGTGCGGTTTATACATTACACTTCACCTGCTTTTTATGCAGTAGTTATTTTGTTGTTTCGGCTTTTATCATTTGTGAAAAAACGAAGTCAAGTGAACTGAAGATAGTACAGCGCTGTGTAAATCAAGAGTATACACATAAATCAAATCCAAAATAACACGAAAAAAAAAAACATAAAAATAGAATAAGTCCATGTGAATAGGAGCAAATGTGAATTGAATTGATGTGAAATTTGATACAAAATGGATGAAACGAGTGCAGCCATTGAGCAAATCACAGCCGCAAAAAATAATAAAGCGGCCGATGATGCTCGGGAAAAGGCAGAGCAAATAGCAGCTGCAACGGCGGCTGCTGAAATTGAAAATCAATCGGAAAAACATGATGTGTCGCCGGAGAATTTGGAGAAAAATAGTAGCTGTGACATTACACCAAATGATGATTTATCGACCAGTGTGACGACAACCAGTGAAACACCAAACAACGAAACTTCCAATTCAATGGTTGACAAAACGAACGATGACAAATCCGATGCGAAGAATAAAAGCACTGGATTTGCATTTACAATTGATTTCAACGAAGGCAAAGCGATTGATAATCGCAAATACAAGGAAATCGCTGAGCGTTTTCAGCATCGACAACAACAACAGCAAGAACAGCGGCGACATCGTCGAGGCGTATCATTATCGAAATTAGATGACTCCCGAAAGTCTTCGACATCGTTAAATATGGAAAATGGCCAACATGTGACGTCGGTCGATGATTCAAATGTTTTGACAACGGCAAAGACGACAGCGGTGGCCGCAAAACCGCCATTCAAGCAACGGAGCAATCGAATCGGGCCGGAAACCGATGTAAAAAGTGATGAAAAATGTGATACAAAAGTGGTGTTGCGACGGCCACGGCCAACAGCCGCTCCACCCACAAATTGTAAAGACTCATCGAAACGGCACAGTTGGAGCCCAAGGTCAAGTCTAAATTATGATAAAATACCGCAGTTGCCTCCAGAACAAATCTCAAAAGATGAACCGCCAACCAAATGCATGGAAAATTCGACAACCAGTTTTCAGCCAAAATCAACGATTTTACAACGTGCTTTGGAGAGTAATCCATTGCGACCGTCGTCTAAGGGAAGTGCCAAGGCGACGATTAAATCGACGACGACGACGACGACGACGACGCCGACGATTAGTTGCGGTAAGAAGGCGATGCGCGATCATGTTGTCACCGCACCATTGGAGTACGTAAGAAATTCGGATGACGAAGGCTCAATCGGTGATGCCAGTCAAGCCACCTACACACTCGACGGTGATAACTATACCGAAGAGGAAAAAGAACGCATGAGCATCGACAAATTGGGTAAACGAAATTTTGATTTATCCATTGAGTCACGAACACGTAACGATTTAAATCGAAACTATACGTCGGCCTTGAAGAATGTATTGCAACCGAATTATTCGCGCGATATAAAATGCGAATCAAAGTACAGTCAACGAACGTCTGTCGAACATCGGGAACATTTAGCGAAAACTGCATCATCAAAAACGACCAAATCCTATTTGGATAAGTTAAAAACACGCGTCAAAACGATTGGCGATCGAACATTTCACAAGAATACAACGAAATCAACACCGGCCACGACCAATGAGAAATTGATGAATCTGCAAGTGGTGCGTACAGACGATTCGTCACCAGTTCATACCGATCATGGTGTGTTTACCAGCATAACGGCGTGTGGTGTTTTGAATAAACAAAACCTAGAACCAGCCAATAATTTTCCAGCCAGCGTCAATCGCAAACATAGTCTGACCAAATTTCAAATCGATAGCTCGGAATATATTCAACCAAAAGTTGACGATGCACTTATGAGCTCGTACACCGATTATGAAAAAGCCAAACATCATGAATATAAACTGAAAATTTTCTCAACCGTTTCGTCGTATACATCATCTGGGACGTCACCAGTGCAAACCGATGATGATAATTTGAGTGTGGAATGCATCGATGATAAACCGATTTCCATCAAAACGGCACCAACGAAAAATGACTGGATTCAAGAATGGGCGAAAAATGCACGACGACGCAACAATTTACTGGCTAGCTCAGCAACTGCATCGCCGAAAATGCAACACTATTTGAAAACCGGTTCGGCACGATCAAAAGTAGCACAATTACAAGGTAACAATGATCGAATGTCACAGAGCTATGACACCTATTTCAATAACGCCGATCAAGAACAGCAACAGCAGCAACAACAACAATTCGGTGATGATGTAATGGAAGATAGCAGCGACGAGTGTACCGCACACACGTCACGATCGATCGGACGCAATGCATCGAATGCCAAGACTGAATTTACAGCCGTCGATGACCATAAAACAAGTACAGCAAACACAGTGCTTCGGCCACCAATTAGCCCAACTAAAATTCCATCACCAATGCACTCACAACTCAGGGCCAGGAGCTCAAGCGTCAACAGAAGCTTCCGCAATAGTAACGCAGTAAGTTTTTTTTTCTTCGTAAATTTCCCTAAAAAAAAAAGATTTTCCCAAAATTTTGATTTTTAAAAGAAAAAAAATCCTAAATTTCTTATTTGATTAGTTCAAACTGAACAAATCTACTGAAAAATGATTCTTTTTGCCTTGAAAAACGATTTTTTTCGGTATCTAACTCCATCATTCGATTTCCATTCCAGGATCTCGACAATTTAGATACGGAAATGTACTTAGAAAAGACGGCCGCGGCAATATCATCGTTGCAAAAGATTCACCGTAAAAAAAACTCACCGCAGAGTCCATTGAGTCCGATGCGAAAAACGGCACCGACCGATTTTGCGACAGCCCCATCGATAACGGTACGCAATAATTACGAAAAATCGGTAAACTTACGACCGTTGCACCTGCACAAACGCAATTTATCGCTGGATGTTTCGCATAATATGGCGAAAAGTAAAAATCACGAATATTATGACTCAAATGAACTGGTAAATGCACGAGAATTGAAAGAGCACCTGGGCAAACGGCACACTCGTCACAATTCATATGAAAATAAGCAAATTCAATTGCCCAGTCCAAAGCATGGTGATATCGATCAAACAATGTCACGAGCAACATTTATCGAACAACAGCGTTTGTTGAACAAATACTTTGCGGATTCGGAGCATCATCATCATCGTCAGCAGCGTGCGGGTGGTGGTGATGAGCATGCGCGCCGTGCGAGCTGTGGCGACAATGCAATTGGATCACCGATACGTCGTTCAAGTTCATTTTGTAATCGAAACATTGCGAATATCATGCCGATGAAGGCAACCACACCGACCGCAACGAAAAAGCCAATGAACCGTCGCATTACGTTGGCAGGTAATAATAATTCATTGCAAAAATCGGCCAGTAGTTCAAGTTTCAAGAAACTGCAAGCAGCCGCAGTGGCAGCAGCAACACCAGCATACCAGCAGCATTATGCCCAGAAGGAAAATGAAATGTATTATATAAATGGTCGAGATAATTTGCAAACGACACATGGTGAATTGCTGTATTCATCGGATGAATCGGACGATGTAAACAGTACGACCGGCGAAAGTTGTGGCCGCTATGAATCGGACCGGCAAGCATCTGAACCGCCAATTTCGCATACACGCTATAACAAGGCGTTTCTCATGCGAATGGAACAGAATAAGCAAATTGCAAGCGGTGGTAATAAAGGTGTGGTCGCTTGTCCAAACACTCCTGAAATGCCGCGGCGTGCCAACAACCAAAGAGCCTCATTCCGTGATCCCACCTCAATGCCACGCGACTCAAGTTTGTCACGCATGAAACAGGATCTGCCGAATTTACAAACGACCAAAAAATCACTCACACAAGCCGTGTCCAAGGATAGCAGCAGCAGCACCAGCAGTGTTAGCAAACGTGTTCTTCCAAAATACATGGACATATCGAAATATAAACCGGTACAAGGGCAGAGCTTTTTGAAGCGCGACGAATCCAAGAGCACGCTGATCAGTCGGAATGAAATTCGGAAGAGCCCTAGTGCGATCGGCCTAAGCAAAGGTGACCCGATGAGAACCAGCGGACGCGTTAAATCGGCTGGTGCTAAGCCAAGCACACCGATTTGTACGAAAGGTAAGATGAAACGTCTCTTCACGGACAGGAGAAGAATTTTGGAGAAAAGGAGACATTTTTGGTTGGATTTTGGTCAACATTTTCAATTAATTTTGTTCTTGACGAACAAATTTCTTTTTCGCACCAGCGCCTGACTTTATTCTTCCCAATTTCTCCCACAAACTAATCAAATCATTCCATAGATACCAAGGCGCGAGAGCAAGAGTTGGCCATGTGGCGAAGACGTGCAACTTATGACCCGATGAAGGCAGCCGCCGAGGGACGAAAGAAACAAGAAGAAGCGAAAAAATCGGTCCAATCAACTAAATTTGGTGATAGGTATGTATCCATCTAACTCTGTCACATTTTTCCTTCACAAATCCCTCAAATTTCTCTCTTCGACCATAAATTGTTTGGGATTTTTTTTATTTATCTCAATCTCGAATCAAATTGTGTGCTCAAATCAATTAATACCGTTCATTTTGATTTTTATCACCGCCCAAAACGAAGTTGAAGAAGATGAGGCTGACTTTTAAACTGAAAACTGCCCCAACAAACAAAAAATCGAGACAAACGAATTTCAATTCAAAATCCAAAGAAAAAAAAAAGAAATTGTACTTAAAACCAAATTCAACGTACCGAATTTAAGAGAAAACAAACCAAAGAATAAACGAAACGTTATGCATTGATTGTAGCAATGAACGAACAATGCCAAGCAAAACGAATAAACCAAAAAGAAATAACGGTAATCATGCAAACCCTCCCGCTTTCTTTGCGTACAAATCATATTTTGGATGTATTCGTTGCTATTCCTGTTTGCTTTTGTGTCGTGTGCAAAAAAAAAATTCATTTTAATTTATGTTTTATTTCAATTTTCGATTCGACAAATGCGAAGCATTCAACAACCACAAACAAAATCAATCGCCAATTCACATCACATCTCTCTCATCAATCTCTCTGTCGCTTTTGTTATGAAGCAAACACCGAACAACTGCTTGTGATTACACCCAAACTCAAATTTACATACATCATTTTCGTTTTTTATGTGCATTTCATTCGGGGATAGGTAACTTGGCCGCCTAACTTTTAGCCGCCGACGGAAAATTGCACTTGGCCGCTGGCGTCCAAAAGTGATTTTCAAAAGTATTACTCTTGGCCGCCGGCGGCTAAAAGTGATTTTCCGTTGGCGGCCAAGCGTAATATCAAAAATACCTTTTGGGCGCCCGCGGCTAAAAGTCGTTTTTAACGGCGGCCAAAAGTTTATATTGAATATTACTCTTGGCCGCCGGCGGCCAAACGCATTTTCAGTGGTTTCCAAGCAGAATGTAGAAAGTGCGTTTTTCTAGACCTTGTGCTCTCTTGTACTAAACTGAACTATTCATACTAAAATGTGAAAAATGGTACGGTCAGCAACGGTCAGAAGTACCAGAGG